ATCACTGCTCCTAATCAATATTGTGCTGGAAGTTTTAGCCAGAGCTATACGGCATGACAAAGATATTAAAGGCATCCAAAATGGCAAAGAGGAAATAAAACTCTCCTTATTTGCAGACGATATGATCCTATACTTAACACCAAAGACGCAGTTAAAAAAAAAAAAACTATTAGAACTCATCGAAAGATTCAGCAAAGTGGCAGGGTATAAGATTAACATACAAAAATCCACTGGATTTCTTTATAGCAACAGCAATAGCAATGAAAAGGACATTAGGAAAGCAATACCATTTACAATAGCCATGCAAAGGATGAAACACATAGGAATAAACATAACCAGAGAAACAAAGAACTTATACAAAGAAAATTACAAAGCCCTACTACAAGAAACCAAAAGAGACCTACAGAAGTGGAAGAACATACCATCTATGTTCCTGGATAGGAAGACTCAACATTGTGAAAATGTCAATACTACCCAGAGCAATTTACACATATAATACAGTCCCAATCCAGATTCCAACAACATTCTTCAAAGAGATGGAAAGCACAATTGCTAATTTTATATGGAAAGGAAAGAGACTCAGGATAAGCAACGCACTACTTAAAAGGAAGAACAAGATTGGAGGTCTCTCACTCCCTGATTTCAAACTTTACTACATGGCTACGGTGGTCAAAACAGCCTGGTACTGGTACAATGAAAGAGACATTGGTCAATGGAACAGAATCGAGAATCCAGATATTAACCCAACCACTAACAGCCAAATGATCTTCAACAAAGTGTCTCAGTACATTGCATGGGGAAGAGACAGTCTCTTTAACAAATGGTGCTGGCAGAACTGGAAAGCGATATGTAAAACACTGAAACAAGACCTTTGCCTTATGCCCTATACAAAAATGAACTCAACATGGATTAAAGATCTAAATGTGAATCCCAAAATTATGAAAATCATTAATGAAAAAATAGGGACAAACGTGAGGGCACTAATTCAGGGCATATACAGACTGCCATTCATTTTGAAAAGTATACAAACAAAAATAGACAAAATAGATGAGTGGGACATACTAAAAATTATAAACTTGTATGCCTCAAAAGACCACCAAGAGAGTAAAAAGGGAACCTACAGACTGGGAAAAAATCTTTTGCAACGACATATAGGATAAGGGACTGATTTCTAAAATATATAGGAAAATACTACACATCTACAAAAATAAGACAAATAACCCAATAAAGAAATGGACACAGGATATGAACAGGCAATTCACCAGGGAGGAGATCTGGGCAGCCAACAAACATAAGAAGAAATGTTCACGATCACTAGCCATTAGATAGATGCAAATCAAAACAACAATGAGATATCATCTCACACCAGCAATAACAGCAAAGATCAAAAAAAAAAAAAAATTGAGGACAATAAAATGCTGACGAGGATGTGGAGAGACTGGGACACTTGCATTGCTGGTGGCAAAATGATCCAACCTCTCTGGAAAGCAATATGGCGTTTCCTCAGAAGGTTGAAAATAGAAAGACCATACAATCCAGCAATTCCTCTACTTGGTATTTACCCACAAGAAAAACGAGCCACAACACAGGAAGATATATGCACACCAATGTTCATAGCTGCACTATGTACAGTACAAAAAAGATGGAGACAGCCAAAGTGCCCATCATCTGAAGAATGGATAAACAAACTGTGGTACGTACACACAATGGAATATTATATGCTACCTTGAAAAATAACAAAGAAGCTGCATGCTACTACCTAACATGGATGAATCTTAAGGACATTATGTTGAGTAAAATTAGTCACAAAAGGAGAAATACTGCATAGGATCACTACTGTAAAAGACTTAAGAAAAAGAACCCATACTAATCCACTAAAGTGTATTTGCTGGTTGATGGGACATAGGGGTAGGGTTAGGGGAGGGAGGGGAAGGTGGAGCACAAGGCAGGGAACAGACACAGGGTAGTTTGGGTGCTGGGGAGGGGGCCAATATACAAGAAGGGAGAAGGGAATGGAAGAACAAAACAGATGGGAGAACAATTATGCAGGTTTGAATGTGCTAAATGGGACAGAGGTAAATAATGATGTATGCATTATTGGAACAACAGGGCTCTGGGACACAGAGATTGAGACATGGTTGGAATGGGGAAAAGGGGGGACTAATGTTAAGATGTTGGGCTGTCTTTTGAATCTTGGTTTTCCATGCGTTATATTATAAAATAAACACTGGAGTGGGAGAGAAAGGCATAGCCAGAAATATCACTATAGAAAGCTTGTAAGTCCGTCTTCTGCTTATAACTGATTGGAATACCTAAAATGTGGCTACAACGTGCCCAATGAAGGAGGTTGCCTGAGGAACCTTTGCATTACATACGACTATAGGTGGAAGCCTGAACCACATCCAGATCTTCAGAGGTGGGAAATTTTCATTTGAAAGGATGAGCAGACCAGCCTGGAGCAGCTAGAAAAACAGAAGATACTTCTTGAAAGACCTACAGGAAAAATACCAAACAATAAAGGCAATCCGACTGTTACTACAAGTACAAGCAAGTTGTTTGCACAGGAGACATCAAGGCAAGTGGTCGGGTCCCCTCAGTGAAAATCCTCTTCCAAGAGTATGACTCAATGGGAATTCATGTTCTGATTGGCCACCATGCACGTCACCTATAAGGGGAAGTGTGGGAAAAACAGCAATGAAGCGGTGAGCTAAGCCTTACAATGTTCAGTAGACTCCTGTGAACCCAGGTGGAGACCTGGGTGGCCAGCAGGGTGGCAAGACCTGGGGACTCATAGGCTCAGAGTCAGTGACACAGCCAGAGAGGACTAGAGTGGAGAGTGAAGCATCCATCTGATAAGAAGAGAGCTGATAGACACAAGAACACCCCCACTTGCAGATAATAACCACTTTACCTGGCTTCAATGACTGGCTGATCAGAGCTCAACCCGAAGAAGAAAGAAGAGAAAAAAGGTGTAATCTGATACAATTTGATGAACTTGACCTACACCTGTGGATGCAGTAGCTCTAAAGAGGAAACAAATCCTTACTGCAAGAACTATTCCCACCCCCTCCACACAAAGAGTAGACAGGGATGGGCAACTTGGACATTGGCTACCCAAAATGGGAGTGGAGGGGGGCTACAAAGGCAAGAAGTGACTGGCTTACAAGCTTTCAAGAGGGAACCCAGATCCACAAGGCGTGGAGGAAGTTGGAGTCTCCAGTGAGTAGTATCCAACCTATCTTGGAAGGACTGATGAAATGAAATGCAGATGGGTCTCTTGTGATACAATAGTGTATAATTGTTATCAGAACTGATTGTGACGGTTGGAAATGTAAAGGTGGACATTTTACAGTCTAGGAGCGGAGGGCCCTGGGACCATCAATGGAGAAGAGTGGAGAGTGGGACCCTACCCAAAGACAGTGATGCCCGAGATGGAGGTAGAGACGATGGCGTGGAGAGATGGAGTGGCTGGGGACTTGAGATCCAGAGAGGGAAAGGGGCTGTGTGGTGACAACTGGGGGGAGGGTGGGGGGGCAGGCATGCAGGTCATACCCTTTGGTTGGTTGATGATGCACGGACAGGACTGTAACTATGGCAATGAAACGATATATGATAGAATGAATGTAAAACTAATGTTCTTCCATGTAAACGATCACATAATTCACAATAAAACATTAAAAAAAAAAACCTTCTTCCTAATAAGTCCCCATAATCATCCTGTGTCTTTCAAGACAATCTGTCAGGATTACCCTTTGGAATCTCCGAAAACAGTCACCCTAACCTTTCTGCTTTGAATTTAACTGGCCCAGCTTATCCCCTCAGAAGCCACTGTTTTGCTTGGCTCTTTTGTTTTGAAGGCACCTAATGAAACTAAGACAAGTGTGTATTGTTGAGAGAACTTATCTGCATTCCTTCACTGGTCACAGAGACCAATTTACACACTTGTTTGGAATAAACTCGTGCACTTATGAAGCAGAACCTTAGTAACAATGCATTGTACTTGCCCTCTATAGTAAGCAAAAAAATTCAAGATACAAAACATTTACATGATTCCATTTTTGTTTTAAAGAAATAAAAATGGGTGTATTAAAGAAATAAAAATGGGTGTACATATGTGTAGAACAGCACTGTATCATGCCCTTTCCATGTCATAATCCATTTATTTATTATGTGAATTAAATATTCGTTGGTGCTAACAAATGATAAAAAGGCATTTTGGTTTTGGATGGAAGCAGTTCTTTCTTACTGAGGTTGGCTTTGAGAAGCAGAGTGATGCACTTAGGAGGGGTAAACTGTTTAAAAAACGATGGGTTGAGCAGATGTGCCCTTCATTCCACCTAAATCTGTTAACTCTGAAGGGCTCACTGTGGTTCCAGATTGCAGAAAACGAGAAAGAGTTATTTACCACAGGCTTGGTGAAGCTGAATGAAGAAGGTACATTGGCACATGGCTGAAAGCTGTACAAATGAATATTAATCAGTAGATCAGCAGCCTTCACAAAGGACTTTCTGTAAATCTTTGTCCTGTGTTCTGCCCTTACACAAGATGGACATCCAGATTTGCCAGAGCAGGAGGTATGGCAAGATGATAGAAATGAGGAGGGAGTGGTGCAGATACAACAGGATATGAACATTTGGCATACTGGGACCTGAGTCTCAAGAGAAAGCGCATGGGGAAGAGGAAATAGGTTCTTTTATGAGTGTAGACACCATGTTTAGGAGCCATAGGTAGAAGGTTAAGAAAGAACAACTTTTAGCTTGGCACAGGAAACTTTTTCAGGCTGCCTCCTGGTGGGTGTTAAATGTGTTCACATGTTTTACGTTTTAGAGTCCTATCTTAGATTAGAAGTCAAGATTTCAAATTCTGTGTTTCTCCATGTTCAATTCAAAACAATAACTGTGTCCTCCAGTGCAGGTCTCGTTACTTTGCATAGTCTGAACAATACTTGGAATGCAGTGAATTATACTGACTTTTTTGGGGGGCGGTGTCTTCTTTTTCAGAATGTCCCTACAATTGGTGTCATTGCTGTCGTTTTAGCCACACACCTGTGCGATGAAGTCAGTTTGGCAGGTTTTGGATATGACCTCAGTCAACCCAGAACACCTTTGCACTACTATGACAATCAATGCATGGCTGCCATGAACTTTCAGACAATGCATAATGTGACAACGGAGACCACCTTCCTCTTCAAACTGGTCAAGGAGGGCGTGGTGAAGGACCTCAGTGGTGGCATCCACTGTGGATTTTGAACACAGCAAACCTCACAGGAAATGCAACTCTGACTTCAGAAGGCTGTTGTGAACAGCCCTCTCCATGTGTTTCATCCTGCAAAGTCTGCAAATACTTTGAAGTACAGCTGGTGTTTCTCAACTTTTAGTTTCAAAAAGAAAACGATCTCTCCCACTTTTTTTGTTTCGTTTCCTATTTATTTGGGGTAGTGTTTGTTTTTGCACAACATTTTTAAAGTTGATTTTGAAAACTGAATTGAGTGGGAAAGACTTATTAAGGAGAGTTTTATATAGTGATGTTTTTTAATGTATGTTAAGAAACTGATTTGTGAAAACTCCATCCACGTACTGCACACAGAATGCCAGGTAGGTTAGTGGAAGTAGAGGAAAGAATTCCTTTGATGATCACCCTGAATGCCTGGTTCTAGTCCTCTCTGTTGCACTCTTTAGAGGGGCAGATGTCGGAGATACTTCTAGGATAATGTAGTCAGTAGTTACACCACTGGTACTGGTTCTGCTACTGACTCTGCAAAGCTGCTCTGTTGGGCCTAGCCGTGGCAGTGTTCCCAGCCCTCTCTGCTGGTCTGGTTTCTGTTGTAAGTTTTGCAGGAACGATCCAGGGTAGCTGTCCTGGGAGTCCCCGCTCAGGGAGGGACACAGACCCATTCTCTGTCTCTCTGAGCATTGTGAAGCTGCCCCAGGCTGAGGAACGAATCTTAGCGGTTTTGACAACTCTTAACTGGAGAGTCTTTTATTGCCCTTCCAAAGCACTTATGTGTTTAACCTAATCTGTTCCCTGTCTCTCTAAGGTGGTTTAATAAAAATTAGGATAAAACTTCTATCTAGAGTTATGGGGGAATAAATCTTTTTAAGAATATTCATGGTTTTTTTTGAAACACCGAGAGAAAAATCCTCCCAGTGTTTACAATTGCCTATCAATGAAAAAAAAAAAAAAGTGTATTTTCCTGAATGCCCACCTGACAGTATGTACCAGGCAGTGTGCTGGTCAAAAAAAGAATAAAGACTTTTGAGGATCTCTCATGTCTCATTAATTTGAGTGTATTTTGCTTTGTTTGTTATTCATTAAAGAAATTAAGTCTATCTAAGATACCCTCCTTAGCTGCTGCTGCTCGGTGTAGCCCTCACCATGGTCCTGAAGGTATGTAGTGAGGAGTCCTTGAAGAATGCAAATGATTTAAGTGCTTGACTACTAACGAAAAGGTTGGCAGTTCAAGTTCACCCAGATGTACTTTGAAAGAAAGGCCTGGTAATCTACTTCCAAAATAATCAATCATTGAAAACTCTGTGGTGCACAATTCTACTCTGACCCACATGGGGTCGCCATGACAACATGTTCCTGGTTGGCCCGCAACCTCCTTGAAAACTCTTGGAGATAAATTTTGGGTGTCATTGGCTTCCTCTTAAGAAGATTTGCTCTACTTTCTCATAGTTGCTCTAACCTTTGCTGCCAGAATATGTGCTGCTTCTCCAGCTGCCCTCCTTGTCCCTGATCTCTCTTCTCATGCTTGACAGCCACTGCTACCACCCCACCCCCTGTTCTCAGTGGTCAGGCAGCCTGTTCTGACATCTTCCAAAGAGCAGCTCAGAGCATTCAAGACAGACCTGTGTCTTTAGTACTCTGGGGAAAAGCTCAGGGGGACCTGCAGAACAAAATAATACATTTGGAGTCGTAAACGTTTGCATGAATTTTTCCTTCTACTCTATAAAATGCTGTCTATTTACAAGAAGATGCTTTTAAATTCTCAAGAGTTACATTAATTAGTTTTGAAAACTGAGACTTTGGAAGATGATTCAAAACTTCCTCGAGCTCAGGTAGGGCTGGACTTACACCACATGTGTCTGACCCTTCATCCCTCAGGGGTATTAGTTATAGAAGCCCGAATCTATATTTTTAATGTTAAAGCCAGAGTTTGAAACTTTCCTGAGACATTTTCTTAACTTGGAGAGGGCCACCTCACTGTATGTGGGGCATCATGAGCCCCTCCTTTACCTGTGAGGTTGTTGTAAACTGTGTGGTTCAATGCCCAGCACGTGGCCAGCTTTCAGCACATGTCAGACCTGCTCCCTCCTCTCCCCACCTCTGTCTCCTTTCTTACTTGCTTATTTGAGATGTTTTGACCAGGCCTCTCAACTGTTGCTACTAGCCTGTGATTTCCAGTTAACCATTGACTGTCAAGTTGATTCTAACTTATGGTAACTCTTATGTGTGTGAGAGTTAAACTGTGCTTCACAGAGGTCTCAATAGCTGGGTTTTCAAAAGTAGATTGCCAGTTCTTTCTTCTGAGGCACCTCTATGTGGACTCGACCCACTTTCGATTAGTGGCCAAATGTATTATCTATTTGCACCACTCAGGGATGCTATTAGTCCAAAATAAATAAAAAGGTACATGTCTAAATTATCTCTCATGAAGTTCCCCAGCCAATCAGTTTATTGGAGAATATTGTCAAGAACTTACCAAAATCAAAAAGATAATAACAGAATACTACTAAGATCTGTACTCCAACAAATTTGAAAATCTGGATGAGAGACGGATACATTTCTAGAAAAACACGACCTATGTAAACTTACTCAAACTGAAGTAGAAAATTGGAACAAACCCCTAACAAAAGAAGAAATTGATCAGGTCATCAAAAAACTCACAACCAACAAAAGCCCAGACCCAGATAGCTTCACAGGTGAGTTCTACCAAACATTCAGAGAAGAACTGTTAAGCAATAGTACTCAAGTTATTCCAGAACATAGAAGAGGATGGAAAACTCCTTAATACTTTTTCGAAAGCAAGCATAACCCTCATACCAAAACCAGGGAATGACACCACTAAGAAAGAAAACTATAGACCAATATCCTTCATGAACATAGACGCAAAAATTCTCAACAAAATCCTAGCCAACAGAATCCAACAGCACGTCAAAACAATAATACATCACGACCAAGTGGGCTTCTTAAAAGGGATACAAGGATGGTTCAACATCAGGAAAATAATCAGCATAATCCATCACATAAATAAGAAAAAGGAAAAGAATCACATGATCATATCGATTGATGAAGAAAAGACATTTAACAAAATCCAACATCCACTTTTGATAAAACACTCAACAAAGTACGAATTGAAGGGAAATTCCTCAACATAATCAAGAGCATATATACAGAACCAAGAGCCTACATCACGCTCAATGGAGAAAAACTGAAAGCCTTGCCCCAGCGAACAGGAACCAGACAAGGATGCCCTTTATCTCAGCTCCTATTCAATATTGTACTGGAAGTTTTAGCCAGAGCTATACGATGTGATAAAGAAATTAAAGGCATCCAAAGAGGAAGTAAACCTCTCCTTATTTGTAGATGATATGACCCTATACTTAGAAAACACTAAGATTCAATAAAAAAAACTATTAGACCTCATCGAAAGATTCAGCAAAGTGGCAGGGTATAAGATAAACATACAAAAATTAATGGGGAGGGAGAACAAACAAGATGGCGGATCGGGTGGAAGTGCAGTAAAGGAACCCGCCAATAACAACACAGAATACCCGACCAAGCAGGCTCAGGGGATGGTCCCAGGACTCTGAACCACATATAAAGGAATACTTAGAAGGTTGGAAAGTTCACAGCTGGGATAATTTGTGGCAGAAACAAGAAATCTATTGCTTTCTAGTCCAGGACGCTTGGCTGCTCCAGCCACCATCTTGAGTGAGACCACGCGGGGGAAGGATTGGAGCGGCCACAGACACCTGGCAGAACCGCTGAGATAAAGGTGTGGACATTCTTTTCTTTGGGTATCTGTTCATTGGTCTCTTGCTATCTGCGCACCTCCATTCTGGTGACTATAGGGGTGCCTGAGCTAGTGGGCACTCCAGCTGCACCCTTGGAGGGTTCTACTACGAATGCTCATAGATCTAGAAATTCAAAGAGACAATTTCCATTTAAAACCAAACGGCCACAGCCGGCCCTGAACTGTTTACAACTAGAAAAAAGGCCTGAACGGGGATTGTGGAGCGGGACAGCAGACAAAAGAGGAAATAGGCTGAAAATTAAATCCTTAGTTACAACAAAACGACCAACAGTGGTATCTTGAAACTTCTCAGGAAGAAGAGTGAAAAGGGAAGCCCATTCCCTGATCACATCTACCTAGAGGCATTCAGAAAGCATAAAAAATACCAAAATACATACCCATCTAAGTATTAAGGCCACAGATAATCCTTGTAGATGCCCAAAAAACAGAAGCAGATGACCATATCTGCACATGTC